AGAAAAAGAAGTGACACATCAGGTCAGACACAGGTTTGATATTTTCCAATGAAGTCAGTTTATTCTATAAACAGAGAATGAGGATGAACCATTCATTGATCAGATTCAGTTGATGAATTAATTATGATGAGTGTTTGTGTTTCAAACAGATTTGACTCAACGTGAAGGAACTCTGAGATTTCAGGAAACAGAACCGATGATAAAACGATTGTTCTCAGAAAATATAAAGATAATCTTGTGATGATGACCTCGTTTGCAGGTAGAGTCTGTGCAGTATACACGCTCTCGACCAATCAGGAGTCAGTGTCAGCTGTCAATCATGACGGATCAGAAACTTGAACAAACATCAGAGAGAAGAACGAGCTGAAGCGGGGGAGGGGTGTGGGCTCTGAGGATTGTTTCCTGAACTTCATGTAGAACTGAGTGGATTCATCTCGTCTGCGTTCAGCTCATCTGGGACGGTGGACGCCATCGTTCATATCGTCTTTATAAAGCTACACCTCCTCCTCCTCCTCCTCCTCCTCCTCCACATCTACATGATATTCCTGGTCCTCAGAGGATAAATCCTCAGCTACATTTTCATCAGTGCACATGAAATATAAAAATCAGAACCTCAATCATTCTCCTCCGACCTCCAGGGACCAATCATCTGCTGCTGTTGGTTGTGTTTCCTGCCATCGTCCTGCTCGCAGGTGTGGGGGGCGGAGTCCGGGGCCGGGTATGAGGCCTGGGCAGGTGTGGGGGCGCGGTTAGGAGTCAAGTGTGTTTCATGGGCGGAGTCTGGAATCGGGGTGGGGTCTGTTTGTGGGACGGGGTCAGTCCTGTCATGTGCCACCTGCTGCATCTCTGTTTCCACTTTAAGCTCCTCCCCTCTGTCATCCACCTGGTCAACGAATCCAGCACACCCCGAGCAGTTCCTGCTTTGCTGGGGCCCCTGCAGGGGGGAGGGGCCCCAACTCTTCGCACTCCCACTGGGAGGGGCCTGTCTGTTTCTGCGAGTCTGATTGGTTCTGTCTTTCTGATTCTGGATCCGTTGGGCTCTTTGCAGCGCCAGCGCGGCTAGGTCCGAGTGAGATGACGTGCTGTCAATCAACCTCCTGCCCATGGCGAGCGGCCGTACGGGCAGTGCCAGCCTCAGCCGCAGCCAGAATCGAGAATGCCGCGACTCAGATCGACTTCCTCGCCACTTCACGGTGCTGACGGCCGCCTGTCGGAGCTGGGTCACCTCCACGCAGCTCAGCTTACTGACTGAGTGGTAAACGACAGCGACAATGGAGGCCTGGTGGCCATGTTGGAGGTACAGGCCCAGCCGACACTCCAGGAGGCTGAAGCTTTTTTCTGTCAGAAAGACGGGGCTGACGACAAACAGGAGGCGGCGACTCCGCTGCATCGACAGCAGGATGGCGTCTGAGGAGTCTGATGGAGGAGAGACAGGAAGAGTCAGAGACAAGAGTCACTGAGCAGCTTCAGGAAGCAGCTCATAGGAAAGTTAACATTTATAAAGTAACCTAACCTCCATCATAAACTCAGTTTTCATCCGTTTCATTAATCAACAACTAAACGTGTCAGACGGAGGATTAGAGCCATGTCGAAGAAAAAAAAACTTCTCAGATCTGGAGAATAATCGGAAAATTATGAGAAAATGTGATTTTCTTAAAATTGCAAAAAATAATCGATACAGTAAAAGAAACCTGAAAAACCCCAAATCCCCATGAAAATGAAACTCATGTTCTCTGTGTTCAAATGTTCTTCAGTAAGTCACCAGAACTACAAGGCTGATTGGTTCAACTCGTCCTTTCAACGTCCCCACCTGATGAAGAACTTCGAGGGAAACATGGGGAACTGTCTCTGCAGTGGATGAAACCGTCCTGAAGAGGGCAGCAGATTCTACATTTAATGCCAAACAGGTCGTGAAATGCTAACATGCATTAGCTTGGATGCTAAATGTGGTTGCGTGAACTCATCCTCCCAGGATGCTGCTGGTCAAATCACAATCTGTGAAAGTTAGAATCAAACATGAACAAGTTCTAAAACCAACGAGTTCTCTGAATTTCTTAGTTCAGTGGGAAAAACTCAAAGTGAACCATGAGTTGAAAAATGAAAAAACCTGATGAAAAGAATAATTGTGTGTTTGTGCAGAAGATGTGACAATGAAAAACAATGACATGAATGATGACATATGATTTATTACCATTTATTTAACAGGAGATTAAAATACTGTTTGAAAAGTGTTGAAGATGAAAAGTGTTTTTTATATTCTCACAAAGAAATGATATCATGATACAGTTGATTTATTTTAGATAAACTGAACATATCAAAGTGGAAACTGTGCAAAAAAATAAAACCAAAAACACAAAGTGCAGAGTAATTGTAATGTTTAAAGTAACGATCAGGCAACTTTTACTTTTATAAATAATTGAACAGTGAAAGTTGCAGTGCATTAGTTCATCAGAAGATATTAGTAAAAAGACAAAACATAAAACAATGGTTTCAGTTGTACCTGTGTTTGCAGAAAAATGTAACTGTAATGTTATTGTAATGTTATTGTAATGTTATTGTAATGTTATTGTAATGTAACTGTAATGTTATTGTAATGTTATTGTAATGTAACTGTAATGTTATTGTAATGTTATTTTAATGTAACTGTAACTATATTGAAACTTGTTTTGCTTGTTTGAGCCCCTCCCACTCTGTAGTTGTTTCCAGTCTAACTCAGCAGCTGCTGGAATCCGTCATTATCAAACATAGACTTTGAATTTCAATCTTAATGCTCAGTCTTCCCTCTGGCGCCACCTTCAGGCCCAAGTTCTGAATCAGACACTGTGTTTCCTCATTCAGACGATTTTCAGGACGGAGGACTGAGTGGAAGAGTCCGAACCAGATTAAAAGAAATGAGTCTTCTAACATTCTCTCCATGTTAATCTGAGGCTGCAACACGTGACTGAAAGGTGGCGGAGCTCCGTCACGCTGCGCAGTTGAAGACTTTCTGGGGGGTTTTGACGGTGTCAGTGATGAGGCCGGTCTGTGAGTTTGTGCTGTTCTGACTGTGCAGCCTCATCAGCTCCTTGCTGCTGCTGACCCTCCTCACAGGAAGCTCCACCCTCAGCCTCTTCCAGAAGCGAGACGTCAGCTCGCTGGACTTGTCTCCCTGCCACTGGACCAGAGCCAGAGCCACCCGGGCTCGTCTCAGCTCGCGGACCCAGCCCTGCCACCGAACCGGTTTGAACTGCACCAGGATGACCCTCAGGTCTCCGCTCAGCGCCATGCCGTCGATACCGGCCTTCAGCTCCAGCAGGGCCTGGGATCCCTGAGTGGCGTAACCCGGGCTAACGACCACCAGGACGCGCCGGCTACGAGCCACAAAACTCAGAGTCTCATCTGTGATGGCTGCAGGGAGACAGGGGGGTTAATGGAGGGAAGGATGAATGGATGTATGGATGGATGGATGGATGGATGGATGAATGAATGGATGGATGGATGGATGGATGAATAGATGGATGAATGGATGGATGGATGGATGGATGGATGAATGAATGGATGGATGGATGGATGGATGGATGGATGGATGGATGGATGGATGAATGAATGGATGGATGGACTGTGTTCTGTCTGTGTGTGTTTTCTTGTCAAACCTGTGTTCTGGTGTGTATTAGTGTATACTCTCGTGTACATGTGTGTACTCACTCCCTCCCGGCAGACTGTCTCGGTCAAATATACACACTGAGTATCCGAGGTCGTTTTCCAGAACTTTGCGCAGCGTCGACAGAACAAACTGCTCGTCCTCACTGTTCCTCGCATACGAGATGTACACATCGTACTCTTTATCATCTACACACACACACACACACACACACACACACACACACACACATGAAACATGACATTAACCTGGGAAAGAACATTTGTGGTAACATCTTTATCTGAACAGGAAGTGAACAGCTCTGATGTAAATGTCACCGACTGCTCTCATGATAAAACTCTGGTTCTAAAATGATTCAAATCAAATGTTGCACTTTCCATGAATGTGTCATCACAGATGTGTCACATGATCAAAGTTTTTGGCTGAGAATCACAAAAAGATGATTTCTTTAGCTGCAACATTATATTTCTAATAATTTTACATATTGAAAATGTTGATAGTAAGAAACCCATTTAAAATGAACTACAAAGAATCTGCACAAGACGACAAAACATCTCATTTGTGTAACACAGAATCTGCCATTGTTTAAAAACAGCTGAATCTCTGTTTGTGTCCTTAAACGCAGCCAAGTTAACGAGCTCCTGCTGCATCACAACCTCGTGTTTTACCTTTGACGGAAAAATTAACTCAACAGTTAAGATTTTACAACCAATCTGTAAATTTTACTGTTGATTGGTGCAGAGTCAAAGGCTTCACGATAAAACTGCTTGTGTGTGTGAGTGTGTGTGAGTGTGTGAGTGTG